TGAGCACTCTGTTGAGGAGGGCGGCATGAAATTCCGTCAAAAACTGCTCCTGTAGCACCGATTGTGCCTTGCTGTGCCCATCAAATCGATGGCGATGGACGTTGGTGCTGAGGAGGGATATCGATCAAATGCATCCAATTCAGCCATTCGTCCGCCAAAAGACACTCATCCTTGCCCTCGAGCTCCACGATGCCACGTCGTCAGAGTCGTGCACAAGGGCCTGATTCAACAACAAGGGCACTGCTCTGAAGTGTGCAAGCAAGGACTCTTTCCACTCGTCTCCCCTTGCGTGGGTGCAACTGCTGAGCATTGTTGAAATCCTTCAAGTCTGCTCTTTTGCTCAATGACCCTTTGAGTGATGGTTTTGCAGTTGTTCTTCGTTCCTTTGATTTAGATCTACTCTTCATTCTTCTTTTCTTTTATTCTCTTCATTCTTCGCAATGGCACTGCAGCAGCGCAGTTTCGCCGCGTTCGCCGCACTGCTTGCATTGAGCATTGCCGTCCTCAGCGCTCACGGTGCGGTTTGCGTTTTGTTGTGGCTCACTTCAGCTCCTCCTCCTCCTCCTCCTGCTGCGTCTTTTATTCTGCTTCTTTCTGTCTTTCTCTTGCTTTGATCGATGCGCGTCATGTGTGCTCTTGGAGTGCAGCCAGAAGACCGAGCTCTCATCGTCTCTCCCTTCCTCTCTCTCTTTCTCTCTCTCACTCTCTCTCTCTCTCGCTGCTTGCTACACGTCGCATGTTTTCATCCCCCACACCACGAACGCGCGTCGTCGCTGTGTGTGCCTCCTGAGCCTGAGCCTCACTCATGATACCTGCCAATGGAGACCGACTGTGATTCTCTCCAATCAACCTTCACCCCAATGGCACGTCACTCACTTGACTCGCTCTGGATCATAGTGTCGCTCTGATTCACAGTTGGACTTGTCGCACACAACGGATCAGGCGCCCGCCACGTCCAGTCGGAAGCGGCTTCTGGCTGGTCTCGCATTGCCGCATCGACCTCGCATCGCAACTCGCTCATGCCTGCAGACCAGAACAGCCTCGACCGACGTGCTGTCGAGTTTGACTTTGCTTCTGACGCATTCATCTCGGTCATCTTTGCCATCAAGCAGCGCAACACGGACGCACTCGCCTCCAAGCTCAAGGGCGGTCTCCGACCCTGCCAGCGAGGACTATGGTACAGTACAGTCCACCATGCGCATTCTAGACCACGGACATGGTCAAAACTGACCGTTTGTTCGCCGCGCTCGATCTATGACTCCTCATAGGCAAGTACATGACGCGTTGAAGAAATGGCCAAGTTTGTCGACGGCGAGCCAGATGCTGTCAACAACGTTGTCACCTCGCTCATCCTCCGAAACGTCGCCTACCGCATGCCGGCTGCCAACGACACACGATGCATCTCGCAGTCGCGTCAGAGCTCTTCATGTGCAATGTAAGGTCGGACGAGGCTCTCGCTCTCGCCAAGCACTTTGCTGAGTGCCTTCTTGCAGCTTTCTGACTCGACAATTCCTTGAGCAGAAACCTACAGAGGCTGGGAATTATCCATTCGTGGTCTGTCGCAGTCATTCGAATTGAGTCGAAACAACTTGCACCAGTCTCGTCTAACGGTGCTTACTGAATGGCGCTTGAAGAAGTGGGTGTTTTAATTCACGATACTGCTGTTGTTCCTCGGCTGTGAGGTGAGCAGGGACCTGTGGACAGAGCATGCAATTGTCAGTCAACCGAGAGACTGGACGCATTTGGAAGCTGATAGGTGGGGAATGCCTAATCCTTCCACCGTCAGCTCGACTGATCATGTGTTCGAGTTCCTCTGTGAGCTCTTTGAGCACTCCACCTGCATGCATTTTTGGAGTGTTAGTATGGCGACATTCAATTGTCTCATATCCTAAGTTCTTTTTCTTTGTTATTCTTCATAAAGCTTTCAACCGTGAAAAACAATCTGTTCGAGTTCCGCTGTGAGCTTGTGAGCACTCTACTCGCAGGCCGATGTCTCATCAGAAACCACTGTAGCATGCCGGAACATTGACGTCAGCGGAGCAGCATCGTTCGGATCGAGCATCCAGAGCGGCGGGACTTGCACATTCGCTGCAGCGGCGCCAACCGTCCTGCGAGATTTGCGCTTTGTGAGCGGTCCAGCCGCCTTGAGCTCATCCTTGGCCGGCAGCATCGCAGCGTTCCGAAATCCTGTCTGCCACGCGTCGCGACACGACATTGTTAGCGTTGTCGAAGTCACAACACACAAAACAATGTCGAATTTGCTGCCAAAGGTCGAATTGCGAATGGCCGAATACGCTTTGAAGAGTTTGGCGGTCCTGTTAGCTGCGTCACCCTTCTTGGACAAGTCTTCGTCCGTTGCTTGCAGAAGAATCAGCAACGGTCGCTCGTCATCGTTCATGCTCTCTAAGACGAGACGTGCATCAAATTCTGACGTGCTTGCAGCGTGCAAAAAGACCACTCCAGGAGCGTCTGCTTGAACTCGAACCTTCGTGCCCATCCAGATGTCGACAGCATCCACGGCTTCGGCAGCATCGAACGTCGGTTTCGAGGTGGTCGAGGTTGCGAACTGGCTCGTGTCTTGCACTGCATTCAGTACGGGCGTCGCAGTCGTTCGGAAGGTACGAGGGGCCTCGGGGCTCTGCGTGCTGTCGCTGCCGAAGGGAAGCGGGACATCGGGAGAAATGCCGAACAAGTTGTGAATTGTGAACGGCCGGACTTGTTGACCGAAGCGAATGGCGAGAGTGGCCACGAGGCCAAGCTCAAAGGCCCGACCACTGTTCGGTTGGTAAGGAAATGTGAAAAGATCCAAAATGGGTGCACGTTCGGCAACAGGGATCTTGGCAAGGATGGGTCGCAGCAGGACAATCGGTACACGAAGTCCTCTGGCCTTCAACTTGAAGTGCCGGGCTGGTCACATACGACTCGACTTGCTCCTTGGTCCGGGTTGAATTCTTGATGAAATCTTCCCGCGCATTTCGCTGCAACTCTAAGACGAGAGCCTCGCGAGCAAGTTGTGCTTCATCCGATGATGACTCTCATCATCAACCCATTCCTCGTATCTTTGTGGAACGATCTCTGATCATAGCAATGACTCGACTTTGTTTTCACCGCTTCTGATCAAAGCAAAGTTTCAACATAGAAAATCAAAGAACGACCAAAAAAAAAAAAAAAAACTTCAGTTCTCCTTTTTTTCTTTTTTTCTTTTTTCCTTTTGGTTAATGTAAGTTTTTCTTCTTTTGAATGTTTTGCCTTTCTTTGTGATTCCACCGCTTTTTCTAGCCTTTCCTTCCCTCCTTCTCTCTCTCTCTCTCTCTCTCTCTCTCTCTCTCTCTCTCTCTCTCACTCACTTTCGCTGACCCACTCTCGCTGCCTACGCTAGCTAATCGGCTAATCTCGTGACTCATGTGGGATAGATGATATTAGATCTAAGATTAGCGCTAAGACACCAAGAGGAGCGGACTAGACACCTATTCTAGACTTTGGATACATGCCGAGGTCAGGAGGCGGG